AGGAGGAAGAATCTAGGTGAGGGGGGGGGTGCAGAGAGGGGAGAGAGAGAACAAGGGGAACAAGAAGGAGGGGGAGAATGAGTGAGATGCCCAGGGCCAGCAGTCAGGCAGGTACCAGCCAGTCAGACATGAGAAGCAGTGAAAGTAAGATATGCAGAAGGGAAAAAAGTAAAAGTCCCAAGGCAAAAGATAAAGAGAAACAGATTAATTTAAGTTAACAGAGCTAATCAGAAATGAACATAAGCTAGGCCAAGCATTCAAAACTAGTAAGCCTCCGTGTCATGATTCAGGAGCTGGTTAGTGGCCCCAAAAAGAAAAAGCGTGGTACATACCCCAACTTGGGTTTTGTTAGTAGAATAAAACCACAGATCTCTCAATCTGTGACCCAAAATGTCAAGATTTTCAAATATATGATGCATAAAGTTGGGGAGTGCTAAGGATATAGCTCAAGGTAGAGGGCTAGCCTAGCATAGACAAAGCTTTGGGTTTAGTTCCCAGTACCACAAATAAGAAGAAAGGACACAGTGGGGCAGGAGAAAAGGAAGGAAGGGGGAAATTCATCCATGTCTAATATGAAATAAAAGTACATTTTGGCATCTGGAAGAAGGAATTACTGAAAAGGTTGCTGGTGATTTATTTTTAAGCACAGTTTTACCCAGAGCAAATGACTAAGTAAAACAAAAGCCCTTTGCATTAGTTACTTAGTTAATTAGTCTGTTCCTGTGATAAAATGACCAAAGCAATTCATACGAAAGCTTATTTTGGCTTCTGGATCCAGAGGGTTAGAGTCCATAACAGCAAGGCAGAAGCAACAGGCAGCAGGCTTGGTGGCAGAAGGAGGCTGACAACTTTCCTCTTAAACTGCAATCTGGAAGCAGAAAGTGAACTGAAAGTAGCAAAGCTTTCAAGGCCCACTCCAGAAAAATACTTTCTCTGCCAGGGTCCACAGAGGTGAGTCCTGTTCCACTTTGACTAACGGTCAGAGGGTTTGAGCTTATTCTTGCTCTCTCAAAGTTGTTGACAACAGGTATGGCTCCAAATAAGAGGTCCTAACCTAGGGTGTGGTTAATTAGTATTTTGAATACAGAGGTGGATCTGCTTCACCTTCACCAAAGGTTGGAGAATTCAAATCTATTCCTGTTCCTTAAGGGGGACTGGCAGGACGTTCCAGGGAGTGGCTGCCTGTAGGACACTTGGTCTATTCCTTATATCCTGTTAATAAAGTCTCTTGCCTCCCCCTCCCCTTTTGGAGTGGAGTATATAAGCATGTGGGAAATAAATGTGGCAGAATCAGTATTCACTGAATTTCCCTCCCAGTGCTGTTCTGTGTTTTTGTCGTTTATTTCTCTCATATCTCTGTTCCTTTTGCTTAGTAGTTCTAATCCTCATGCCCCTACCCTGGAATGTGTGAACATCATCAAGGCTGGACCATGACAGATGTCACCCCAACGTGTGGCTTACAACATTCCACCAGCAAAACCACATCTCCTAACCCCTCCTGGTGCCAACAACTGCAGACCAAGTGTTCACATGTCTTAGCCTAAGGGAGATGTTTTTCATTCAGACCACCACACTCTTGAAATTCATACTAAATCACTAACAAATGCTATCAGTCAGCTACGAATATATTTTTCCTATCTCAGTTTGGTTTTACTCCTAACCAGTATACTCAAAGCTATTTTTATCACAAGTTTTGTTTCTTTAATTTTTTTTTCTAGCTGGATTTGTAGCTTAGTTGATAAGTGCTTGCTTACTCTACACAAAGCCCTGGGTTCAACTCACAACACCGCATAAACTGGTAGTGATATGTGTTGGGAAATACTATTTTAAGGCATGTTGCTTTGGTTTATGCTGCATTTGTTTAACTCTGTGAAGTTGTGATTCTTTGCCTGTATAAAATACTTGATGGTCTAATAAAGAGCTGAATGGCCAATAGTGAGGCAGGAGCAAGGATAGGTGGGGCTTGCAGATGGAGGGTATAAATAGAAAGAGAAATCTGGAAGAAGAGAAAGAGGAACAAAAGAGAACAAGGAGAGAAGGACACGAGAGGTCAGTCAGCCAAGAAATAAGAGTAAAAGTAAGATATACAGAAGAAAAGGGGAAAGGCCAGAGCAAAATGTAATCAGGATAATTGGTTAAGGAAAGCTGGCTAGACACAGGTCAAGCTAAAGCCAGGCATTCATAACTAAGAGTAAGTCTCCATGTGTGAATTTATTTGGGAGCTGGGTGGTAGGGTGCCCCAAAAGCCAAAAGAGTAAATCATACAACAGATACGTGTACCTGTAAACTATAGAGAGAGGGGATCAGAAGTTCAAGGTTTTCCTTTGAAACCAAATTTGAAGCCAACCTGGGTTACATGAGACCTTGTCTCCAAAAACCAAAAACCAAAAACAAGCAAACAAACAAAAATCCAGAAACTCTTTTCCAATAAGCTCAAACCGATAGAGAAATAACAAAATAAATTTTTTTCTAAATCAATGGAGAATAAGTAGCCAATGTAATGTCTCATCCTTAAATAATTAACTATGTATTTTCTACAAGTAAAACCATTCCTGTACATAGCACAATGTTGGAGGAGGAGACTGCTTGTTAGTCCAGGCCACTGAGCCCCCAAAAAATCACAAAGAAACTGTATTAATTAAATCATTGCTTGGCCCATTAGCTCTAACTTCTTACTGGCTAACTCCTACATCTTAATTTAACCCATCTCTATTAATCTGTGTATCGCCACGTGACAATGACTTACAAAGTTCCCAGCATCTGTCTCCAGTGGCTCCAATGCTTCTCTCCGACTCCGCCTTTCTTTCTCCCAGCATTCAGCCTAGCTTTCCCTGCCTACCTAAGTTTTGCCTTGCTATAGGTCCAAAGCATTTTCTTTATTTCTTAATAGTAATCACAGCACACACACTCTCACATTAGCACAATGTAACTATCAAACCTAGAAATTGTAGCATTGGCAAGCTATTGCTAACTATTCTTCAGGACTCTAGAATTTTATCAGATGTTCTGCTGATGTCTTCTAAACAAAAGAACACGCTCCAATGGGTCACTCTATGCTTAGTGGCCATGTCCCTTTTGTAACCCTTAAGATAGAAGATGTCCTTGGTCTTTCTTAGCCTACAACAACCTTAGCACTTTTGAAAGATGACAGAACAATTATTTTTGTAGAATGCCTCTACTTGGGATTTGTCTGTTTTTTTTCCTGCATACTTGGGTTTAAGATGTTAAGATGTGTGTATTTAGCAGGAATTCTGCAGATGAATAAATTTGGCAGGAATTCTGCACTCTTCTTATAATTTGGGTTTTGAGACTCAATTTCAACTTGTCTCATCACATCTAAAGAGTAGCCATTATACATCATCTTTGTAGTCAATATCTGCTGTCTTAGTTAAGGTTTCTATTGCTGTAATGAAAAACCATGACCAACACAACTTGGGGAGAAAAGGGTTTATTTCACTCACAGTTCCATATAACATTTCATCATCAAAAGCAGTGAGGGCAGGAATCTGGAGGCAGGAGCTAATGCAGAAGCCATGGAAGGGGCACTTTTTACTGACTTGCTCTCTGTGGCTTGCCAAGTCTGCTTTCTTATAGAACTCAGGACCACCAACCCAGGGGTGGCACCATTGACAGTGACCTGGGTCCCCACATCAATCACTAATTAGGAAAATGCCCTATATCCAGATCTTACAGAAGCATTTTCTTAATTGAGGTTTCCTCCTTTCAGATAACTCTAGATTTTGTCAAGTTGACAAAAAACTAGTCAGCATACTTGCTTTGAAGGAAGGTAAGCTGTAAAACTTATATAAATACATTATTCATCCCCCAACTTGCAATTTACTCATTTACCTTATTAGTTTTTGACTCAGAATGTTATGGCTTAAATATAAAATCTCCACTACAGGATTAAACTCTGACTGCTTGGTCCCCAACTACGGGCCTGATTTTGAGAGGCTATGGAAACTTTAAGAGGGGGAGCCTAACTTGGGAAAGTAGACCACTGGGCCATGCCTTTTAAGTGATTAGGTTATGCCTAATCACCAGTTTCTGACTTGTGCTCTACTTCTGATCCACCAAGACGTGCAGAACACCTGTATCAACACATTTCACACCATGATATTCTGTCCAAAGACATGAGGCCAAGAAATCATGGATTTAACACCCAGAAAGCAGTGAGCAAAAGAAATATTCACTCCCTTAAACTATCTCCAGCAGGTATTTTGTCACAGTGGTGAGAAAATCAGTGTATACATATCCTACCTTGTTTCATTACTATCATTATTTACACTAATGTTCAAATAATCTCCAATTTAACTAACACATTTATGGTGACTGAAAAGTTTCTGCGCCCTGACAAACCTCTCTGTCAATGCAACAATCTGAACCAGATCAAAGCAAATGGAATTAGAAAAAGCCCAGGTTTAATGGATACCAATGCTCCCAGATGACTTTCAGCCCCCCAGAGAAGAGATGGGAAAGGAAGACTGGAAAACCACATTGTTTGTTTAATTACCCTTTGGGAGTGGTCTTGAGTATCTCTGGGGAGGGGTCATCATTTGGTGGGCTTTCTTGGTGGTGGAATCTGGACTGAGGCAACTCCTAGGGAAGGGAGCTTGGGATGAAACTTCCACCCGAACATTTCAGACTCTTTGGATGGATGCCAGGGACTGGGGTGAGGCTTTAACCCAAATAGTGATCCTCTGTGATTTTGTCCTATCACAGATCCATGCTGGACATTGCTCTAACCCAAGAATCTTCCATTTCTCTTACTTGGTGTTTGGAGGTCAGTGTCTGGACAATTGGTGTGTTCCCTGTTGTTGGGTTGCAGCTGCTCTGGGCTTTGCAGTGGATAATCAGGTGCTTTCTCCCTCCACCAGGGCAGAAGCCTATCTTGGTGGCCACAGTTAAGGGTTTTAGCACGTAATTGTCTAGGAAAAGAAAAAGAAAAAAGAAACTAAAGTTTATTCTGAAACTTTGTTGTAATTAATGTGACTTTTGAAATATTTACCTGGCTGGGGAGGTATCCTGATCACTAAGGTGGTTTTCCTAGGGTTGGTTCACCCATTGTGCTTGTGGATTTGCTGATTCCCACAATTTCCCCAAATATAGAAAATTCAACTGCTTAATTTCTGTTGTGGGGGACTTCATTCTCTCCCTCCCTTGCAAAAAAAATATATAATGAACAAAGGAATAATTCTAGAGGTATCACCATATTTTATCTCAAGACATTCTAAAGAGTCCTAGTAACGAAACCAGCATGGCACAGGCACAAACACATAGATTACCCGGAGCAGAACAGAAGACCCAGACATAAATCCATGAAACCACAGCTGCCTAATTTCTGATAAGAAAGCTAAAAATATCCATTAGGGAGCAGATAGCTTCTTTAATGAATGGTGCTGATAAAACTGTATGTCCACTAAGTAGAAGAACAAACTAGATCTTCAACTCACGCCCTACACAGCAGTCCACTCTAGTAGATGAAACACACCAAAGTAACACCCAAAACTCTGAAACTGCTCTGGAAGTGAGGCCAGTCTTTGAAAAAATTGGACACTGTAAATTAAAGAGCCTTCGGTGTAGCAAAAGAAGTTATCTGAGTAAAGAGGCTGTCGGAGCCCACAGACGTGGATTCATTCCACCTTGAGCAAAGGTCAGAGAGTTCAGGCCTCTGTTTGCTTCTTCAAGGTTGACAGGAGGTTTGACCCAAGATGTGGTTACTAACAGGATGTTTTGACCCAGAGTGAGAATACTTGATGCTTTGGGTATTTGAGAAGGTGATAACTTTGTTCCTTGTATCACTGGTTAAGAAATCTTTTGTTCTCCCATTCTGATTGGGGTATAAAAGAACTTTGAAAAATAAAATTGAGACTTACTTTGGTATTGACTGAAGAACCTCCTGGTTTAGTCCCATGTCTCTGTCTATTTCTTTTGTATCTCTGTTCTTTCTGTCTAACATTTATTTTTATAAAAGGATTCTTTTAGCTTTTTAAAAATTTTATTATTTATTTATTTGTATTTTTTGTATGTTGGTATTTTGCCTGCATGTATATCTGTGTGAAGGTATCAGATCACCTGGAACAGAAGTTATAGACAGTTATGAGCTGCCATGTGGGTTCTGGAAATTGAACTCGGACCTCTGTAAGAACAGTCAGTGCTCTTAACATCTGAGCCATTTCTTCAGCCTCCTGCCTAACTTTTCTAATCCTCATACCCCTACCCTGAAAAATGTGAACCATTGAGGCTGAACCCTTACAGATGGCTCCTCAATGTGGGGCTTATGACAAGAGATAGGCTACAGGAGAAAATAATTTCCAGTTATACATCTGACAGAGGCTCAATATATAGAATATAAAAAGAACTTTAAAAATTAAAAAGCAAGGAAACTAATAACCCGGTCAAAAGGCAACAACCTTATCAGTAGGCCACAGCCTCATGGTAATACATAGATTAATAGAAATGGGTTAATTTAAGAGCTAGCTAGAAATATGCCTGAGCCATTGGCCAAACAGTGTTGTAATTAGTATAGTTTCTGTGTGATTATTTGGGTCTGGGCAGCCAGAAAATCAACATGCGGTCTCAGTCTAGAAATGGCGTCCACCATCTGGGGCATGGATCCACATAAGAACTAAAAAAAAAAAAAGCTTAATTTAAAAAAGAGGGCTTCTAGCGCCACAAAAACAGAAGCCAAGTGCAGCTTCTTGGTAGCTGTGTTTGTTTTCCAGATAAACTCTGTTTTCTGGCTGTAAGCAGAGGTACGGCTCCTTTAAGAAATGGCTTCCTGGTTCATACTGGCAGCATGAATGGCTCTGGCTCTTTCCAGAGATCCTTCTACAGAGCACTTAGGGTTTGTGAGCAGAGGGTTACAAGTTGCTTAATGGTAACATAAACCCTCCATGTCCCCGGAGCTGGGGTGGTGAGCATGGCTCACAGAGGTGGTGAGTGTACCTCTGCCATATTGACTGGAACGGATCCAACAGATAAAGCTACATAAAGATGGAAAATACACAGAGAGTCTAGATTATGTATATTATTGTGTTTTCTTTTAATTTTTTGACTATGAATGAGCTAGCTATAGAGAGACATCTCATTGTAAGGGCTGCTAAGATAAACCAACGTAAAAGTATCTTGATTTCAAAATTTGAGTCTAAGGATATGTTATTTTGGAAAAGAGGTTCTGCTTTTGTTTCCACTGACGATGGGAACCTGTGGATTCCTTCCAGGCTAATGTGGTTTGATGGAACAAGATTCCCCAAAAGGTCTCTGTGAACCCTAAATATACTTTGCCAAACAAACAACAAGAAGTAGTTTGGAGAAAACTATACCCAAATTCCAAAAATGATTGTTTATAAATGTTTGTTTTGATTTAAAGGAGGTTGATTTAAGTGGTTATTAAAGACTCAATCTCTTTCTAAAGAAGAAAAGAAGGGGGGGAATATGATATAACAATGAATACTTTACAATGGTAAGGACTTTTGTTTATTGATAAAAATTTAAGGTCACTTTTGTTATATGTATGTTTCTATTCTTGCTTAAGGTATTATCTTTCTACAGCTCATTTAAAAATGTAATGTATAATTAAAAATTATACTTTATTATATTTTGGTAATCATCTATACTAGTCAAACTATAGTCATGTTAGTTTTCCTAGATATACAGAGATATATTTCAGTTAGATAGATAATATTCAACAGTTCAAAGACCTACGGAATATGGCATTTAAAATGCTTTAAGAACTTAGACTTTTCTCAACAGTGAGACATGTCCGCTTCTGGCAGCACCAATCTACTTTAAGAGGAAGATGGGCATCGAAGAGGCTCCTTATGGAGTTTGCTAGCCATTTGGGCAAGAAACTGCTTTTTTCTGGACTGTCTGATGGTATACCGTATGACCTGAGCATGAAGGACCCACAGAAAAATGGCTGCTGAACTTCCCAAAAGATGAGATGCTCCTTCAGGGTTCCTGCTCCACAGAAGAAACTGCCAGACATTATGCAGGACACAGAAGAAAGTAACTGACAAACTTTGCCAGTACAAAGCAGAAGAGATCTTCAAATTTTCTGCTTCACTGAAAAGTTTGCCAGATATTATGGGCCTATAGACTGAAGATGCATGCCCCAACATTGCAAAAGAGCTTTGGTTGACTGTCTAGGTAGCAAGATATCTCTGTCCTTTCTAGAACTTTGGAAGTTGTTTACAATGCACTTAGGTAATATTATATCCCTCTGGGATCTTTGATGGAGTTAAAGACAGATAGTTATAATTGTAATTTTCCTTAGTTATGATAAAATATAAATTAGATATGAAACTTTAGATTCATAAAGATAAAACAGATGATAGAATATTTTCTTTGATTTTGCCAGGTACAAATAGACTAAATATTGTAACTGTATTCATTGTTTGATACTTGTTTTGTTATATATAATTTTACTATGTTAAAGTTAAAATCTTCCTTTTTATTTAGATAAAGGAAAATTTTTAGAAAAAGCAAGATGATGTGGGATTTCCCTCTGTGTGTTATAAATATGTTTTTATTACCATTGGTTAATAAAGAAACTACTTTGGCCTCTGACAGGGCAGAATAGAGCTAAGAAGGAAAACTAAACTGAATGCAGGTAGAAAGAAGGTGGAATCAGGCAGACACCATGTAGCTACTGAAGGAGAAAAGCACTAGAACCTTACCTGTAGGCCACAGCCTCCTGGTGATACATAGATTAATATAAAAGGGTTAATTTAAGATGTAAGAGTTATCGAGAAATATACCTGAGCCATTGACCAAACAGTGTTGTAATTAATATAGTTTCTGTGTGATTATTCAGGTCTGGTGGTGGGGAAATCAACGCACAATCTCAGTCTACAAATTGCCTTGGCTGTGGTGCTTTGTCACAGCAATTGAAAAGTAACTAAAAGGCAGAGTTTCCATAATATTGGCCATCTGGGCCACTACTTCAGGGGTTCTTGTTCTTGTTTTGTAGAAACAAAAGCAGAACCTCTTTTCCAAAGCAACATGTCCTTAGACCCAAATTTTGAAGTCAGGATACCTTTAAAACATACATCTTGGTTTAGCTTAGCAGTATGTACAATGAACTGTCTCTCTGTACTTATCCCATTTACAGTCAAAAATTCAAAGAAAACACAATAATATACATAATCTAGACTCTTCATGTTTTCCATCTTTACATGGCTTGTTTTTTTACTCCTTTAATCTATTACTGTCTGTACTCTGTCTCTTTAAAGACTTTGTTTTATTTTTTTAAACCATTTACTTTTTTTTAACAATCTGTAGTTGTTTTCTTTTCTCTCCTAAGCCTGTGTACATTTTTAAAAACACACTATGACCCATTTAGAGGTTTGTTTCTGTCTGAATCTGTCTTTATTGCATATCTGTAATCTTCTTTTACCAGGAGCACTTTTAAAATGGTAAGTAACTTGGTTGCAGTGGCCCTGGATGCTGGCTCCACCTCTCTTGGCCTTTTATATGCTGGAGATAACTTTGCTGCCAGCTCCTGCGCTCACCACTTTAACTCTGGAAAGTAGAGTACAACATATGAACCCTTTTAATCTGAGTAAAAGCTAAATCTGCCATGCAGTGCACTGTGTGACCTGGAAATATCTCTGTGTATGCCGGTGGAAATTCACCATGCTCTCCTACCTGTGAACTTCTAGCAGAACCAATCCCTGAGGTGGGGAATGTTGAACCTTGGTCATGGTCTTAGCTACTTTCCTCCCAACTACAAGAGGGCACACAAGCACCCATACCTGAAATAGGTTTGTTGAAATAAACATGCTAGCTAAAGATAAAACAATTATATTTTATTTATTATAAGGGGGAAACTCAAGAAACAGTAAATGAGAAATTCAAGCACAGCAATGTTCTGCGCAAAAAGGTGCAGAGAGAGTGCACACATTTTACCCTGGGGCTCAGCCAAGCCACGCCTTAACTAAGACCCACCTCTTAAATATGATTGTCTAATATGGTTCCCCATCATCTCTCCCTTTTGTCTAAACAAGAGTGATTCAAACCCAATACAAAACTATATATAATAGGAACAAATATTAAGTATAAAATTATAAACAATATTAAGCAAGGAACATATGACAAATATTTAATAAATATTTTATTTTAAGGAGTCTAAATCTTGCATCAGAAATAAGCTTG